TGCCGCGCTGTAATCCTGCTCTCCAACCCCCCGGCCGCCCCGGCGGCGTCGCCGCTGGAGGGAAAGGTGTTTCTGCGCCCCTGGGTCGTGCCCGCCGCTGGATGGGGTGTCGCCGCAGCCTGCCTCGGGCTGCGCGCTCCTGTTGCACCCCGGGACTTCCTCTCTTCCCCCCTTGCCCTCCTCGGGACCGGGCTTGCCGCGTTCTCCTGCCCGCACCGTCTCCCTGCTACACGTTGCCGTTCCCATCAACTGTTTCTGCGCTGGGACGCGGCACTGTTACTGCCACTCCGCGATGCCTCAGTTCCCACTTCCTTGTCCCTGTGAAAGGTCCAGGTGCTGCTGCACCGCGCTTCTCCCTCCTACCCTCCCTCCCTCCCTCCTGCCCTCCCTCTCTCCGCACTTGTCTCTTCATCTCCCTCCCTCCCTCTCTCCGCACTTGTCTCTTCATTGGCAGACCTGCTGCTGCACCCTAGGACGGGGCTTTGCAGGGGGACCCTGCGGGACAGGAAAGCAGCGTAGCAATGGCCAGGGTAGGATTATGGGGACAGTGCTTTCCTGGGTGCCGCTGCTCTCCCCCTCCCTCCCTTCCTGCACCAACTGCTGGGCTCTGCTGCATCTCTTCTCTCCAGCCCCGTGTCCCCGTCCCTCCCCACGCTGCTGCAGCTGTGTGTCACCAAGCCCGGGCCCCAGTGCTGGTGCTCACCTTGCTGTTTATTGGTTTGTATGTAGAGGTTGAGGAAGGGGAGAAAAAGGCAGGACTCTGCAGTATCGGGAGGATTCAAGCTATTTTAGGCTCTCTGTAGGGCTAACTGTCTTGCGGGGCCCTTGTGCAGCTTCTGTTCCCCTTTCTTATACTTCAAATATGTACATTTGTCCATAGACACGGGTTCGTGTTCCTGGTCTGAAGGACTTGGAATTTTCTGCCAGTTTTTTCTTATTTGTCCTTTTCCCCTTTTCAGATCTGTCCTGTAAAGCCAGTTGTTATTCTTTTCCCACCATGTTTTGTTGGTTCTTTTTTAAAAAGAAGGGACTGCTTTCAAGCGCTCATCTGTGTAGTCCCGTAGATTTTGACTCCCTGTCTTTTCACCTTGGTCTCTGTTGTATTATCTCTCTTTTTTCCCTCATAGAAATCCTTCTTCCCTCTCTCTCAGACCTCTTCTCCAAGTGGCTCTTTGGAATAGTTGTAATAATACCAATAGTTCCAGCTTGAGAAAATGTGCAAAGCCTCGTAGCTTCTTACTCACTTCATTAATAGGTACATGCTTATCCCCGTTTTGCAGGTGGGTAGAGAGATGTAAGAGAACTGATAACTTCTGCAAAGTGTTGCAGTGATTTTGTGACTGAGCTGGCACTTGAACGTGGGAGAAATGAGTCCTGATTGTCTGATGTAACTGCTGGGGATACTGTCTTCGGGAGATGGACTTAGCGGCTAGTGTTTGCAGCGTTGTTCTGGGCTGCTTGTCTCCTGTTCATCAATCCCTTCATGTCCTGTTTCTGTGCCCATATGGTCTCTCTCGCCCTGCACAGTGTGCTGTTCTTGCTGCGCTGTCTGTGACGGGGCTTGAGGGGTCTTCAGGAGGCTCGAGTACCATATAGACTAGGTTTTATTTGCTGATCAGACAGCATGCACTGTTTGTCAGATTTTCATATGTTGTTTCCCTCCTCTGTATGTCTTCTGCCCTGTCCTTAATCTGGTCCGCTCTGGGGACAGAAATTGCTGCTATTGTATTCTCATTTTCAGTTTCATAGCTCCTACCCTCTTTATTTTTCTTCTAGGGGAGCCTTCTCTGTGGTCCGCAGATGTGTAAAGAAAAGTTCATCGCAGGAATATGCTGCAAAAATCATCAACACCAAAAAACTGTCAGCCAGAGGTTAGTGTCTTGATCTACCCTTCTTCCTTTTATTAATAGAAAATACTTCACTGGAGTTGAAGCTGTTATAAGTTTAAGGGATCTGAAGTTGCTTGTCTCAGTCATTATTTCAGCATTACAAAATAATTGAGTTGTGTGGCGAAGAGGAGATTGAAAGGAGGTAGCGTAGGATGATAGAAAAATTCCTGTGTCTGGAAATGGATACTCTGTGAAATGATGTTGTCTTTTTTCTTTTTGAGATCTCTCTTCTGCAAGCTGAGCTAGAGGTATGTTTATAGAAGATTTATCTACGTGTGTGTGTACTGATCACTCATAATAAAGAGAAGTGTTGCAGACTGATTTTGCTGAATGTCTTTTCTACCTAGGAGATCTGTCTTACCAGAACAGATGTGATTATTTTTTTTGAAGGATAGATGCTATATGCCTTGCTCCTTTCATGCTGTAGATAAAGGTGGCATGTTTGGAAACTAACAAGTTTGCCTTCAAAGGCAGAAGTAGGTTGGATAGAGAAATCTTGCGAATTTGACTTCTCAACGAATCAGAACAAGTAGTTTTTGCTTTCGTTAATCCTGGAGTCTTCCAAAACCTGAAACCAGACTGTAGTCTCATGAAAAGAGAAAAAATCTTAACTCTTCCCCCAAGCTGTTGGTCTGCTGGTTTCCAGGGACGTACGTATGCACAAAGGGTAGTGTACCTTGTAGTATGCAGGGAACGTGTATCTTCTAGTGCGTAGGGAATCCCTTACAGGGACTAAAGTTGCTTCGCGGGTGGGGTGGATGAGGGGGAGAATGAGAGAAGCTGAACTGCAGTAAAAGATGCTGAAAGCAGAGGGTGCAACAAGTTGAGATGCCAGAGGCGACTGTTTCTAGAAGAGGCGAACAAGACAAGATCTAAGTCCTTAGAGGCCTTTCAGATTTGACAAAATTAATGTCTGTCTTGCTAGTTGAGTAGATGGCTTAGTAGGGGGGTTGACTGAGAAATGAAAAAAAAAAAAAAAGCAGGAGGAGGAAGCGAATGATCTTGATAAATGATTTAGAACTGAAGAATGTTTTGCCTAATCCCTGTAAAAGAGAAAAATAGAATATGTATTCTTCTTTCTGCCGGAGTATGAAATGTGATGATAAGAGCAGAAGACGGCTTGAAGAATGGTGAAAAATTTCCATTTACTGTAGTTTGCATGGAGAAGTAGTGTCAAAAGTAGAGTGTGCTGTGCCGTGAAGGTTGTTTTGTTTGTTTGTTTATTGGGGTTTTTTTTGACTTGTGGAAGTAAGCATATGTGATAATGTGTTGTTTCGGTATCTAGCCTGACCGAAGTCATGTTGGGGACCAACCAGTGGAGCCCTAGGTTGTTTAGGAGGTGGCTGCAGATCCTGTGAGAATTGGTGTCCCCTCCATGGTCAGGTGACAGTGCCCGCTGATGTAGGTGGGATATCCAATCTCTTGAGTTCCAAATTAGTTCAACTTAATATGGGAGAGGTTTGAAGGGTGGCTTTGCTTTGCTGACAGCCGTTAATGCCGTGTTTGCTCCGCAGAGTTCCCCGTCCACCCTGTAGCGAGGACTAAAGCTCAGAAGAGCCGTCTTCTCAGATGCTAGTGGACACAAGCCTGCTTAGAGAAGGGAGAGAGTAGCTTGATAAGCTGATTGCAAATGAGAAACCGTTTTCTTACAAAGGAGGTGGTATTGAAGTTAACTCTGGAGATAAGAAAAATGGGGAAAACCGCAGGATGAATAGAGTTGAAACAAAATTCAGAAACATATTAGCAGAAGTCCAAAAGTAGCAGAACTGATTGAGTGGGTTTTTAAGTGTTTGAGCACCTAATGAGTTACAGAGGAGCAATATATAGATTCTAATTGTTTTTCATATTAAAGTGATGACAGCTTTATGACCCAGTAAGTAAGAAAAGTAAGTATGGGTGAATACAGGCCATGTTTTGATCTACTACTTACTTCCTAGATTTCATACCTTCCTATAAATAAAATACATTGAGGATACTAGCCTGGTCCTCAGCTGTATAACTCGAGGCAGCTGGCAATGATTTATTTACAAAGGTATTGGTTAGGTAGAGGGCAAGTGTGGGGAGAGCCAAGAAAGGAAATGGATGTTTCTGCTAGTACAGAAGAATATCAGAAACAAGGGACTGATCAGGTTTCGTTGAAGTCTTATCTGAGGACTAAAGAATCTGCATTTACAGGGAAAAGTGGATGGTGACTTCAGCCGAATATATAGGTTCCTCAGTTATTCCAGCTGTGTTTGCCGATAGCTCAAGTGGTTAGTACAAAAAGGGACCGAATATTTTGATAGGAACTTAGTGAATTCACCTTGGAATAGGTCCTTAAAGCACTGAAGGAAAAATGTGTGCTATTTAGACATTGCAGCTGTAAATCAGCGATTAGGGAGATTTGATTCAGCAACCTGTAAATGAAAGTCTCAGGGAAGGGCATTTTAGGAAGCTGTCTCCCACAGGAGGAGAATTACGGCGTTAATTCCGCAGTATCCTGGATATATGTTGCCTGATGCTTCCTTTCCCCGAGCTGGCACTTCTCCCTGGGGAGGCCATATCTCTGCCCGGCAATACGTACGCACGGGGCTCTCCTGCACACCCAGCTGCATGCCTGTCTGTTGTGCAGGTTAACCCACCCTCCTGCCTGGAGGAGGGTAACCCTGTTAACCCTGCAGGTTAACCTGCCTCCTGTGTTGTTGGTTTTCTTCTAGGCTTGGTCACAGCACCAAAATATTCCCTCATGTGGGGACACCCTGCTCCTCTCCAACTTAAACGTAGCTACATTTAACATTTTGTACCTTCTCTAGCAGAATTTGAACACGTATAGATACCTGATGTAGTAACTGCTACTTCAAGAGCCAGTGTCTTGCTGCTGCTGAGAAGTATGTCTGGCCTATTGCTGCTTCACGGAAGTTTTGCCGGCTGTAGTGCTTCCCTTGATTATGTCCAGGGAAATGGTAACAAAGCCGTGCTCTCCTTCTGCAGTACTTCTTGTCACCTTTATTTTTCGAGACTCTTGAAGAAGAAATACTAGATAGCTGACTGGTAAGTGCTGAATAGCTTGCTGTACGTAGCTGAAAAGGAGGAAGAGGAACACTTCAGGGTGAATTGTGTGCGTTTAAAGGGTTCTGTATTACTTGACGTGTTTATCAAACTGTTTTCTTAAAGCAATAAAGAGTTGAAGAGGCACGGTGCTGTTACAGGGCTTCTCTGTGAAAGCAAGGAGGGTTAAAGTGGTGCTGGTTTTTGTGAAGGGCGGTCCTCACAACTTCAGTCTAGTAAGCTTCACCCTTTGTAAAATACGAAGTCAGATGTTGAGAGGAGAGTCTTTGTTTCTCTATTTATTGTCTATGATTTCTGCATGCCTGTTCTCTGTCTTTTTTAATAAATCATGTCAGTAAGAGCTGGTACAGATTAAAATTCATATTTTGGCTTCAGTGAAGTATTTGCTATTATTCATATTGTATTGATGCTTAAGACTGCCCAGTGAAGACTATGCCAAGAACTTTAATGTTAAATAGGGGCCAAATGCTTGTGGAAAGGGGGGGGGAAACAGACTTTACCGTAGTCAGCGTTCAGCTGACATGTAAGAGCGGTGGTTATTATACATGGGGGAAATACAATGCTTCAGTCATCTGAAATTCCTATGGGGTTGAACGCAGGCTTTTACCAGAGCTACGGGCAGAGGGAAATAATAACTGTAATTTTTTGGAAGTTGTCTTGTGGGTGTCACCAGAATATTTTTTGAACATGAAAATTCATAGCAAGTAGTGCTTCAGTTCCTGGGCAGCAGTGAAGTTCAAATAAAGTAAAATTGCTTGCAGTGATCAAAAGGATCAAGACAGAAGCAGTAGCTTTAGTAACAGTAGGGAAATACCCAGCATTTGACTCTCCAGCGTATACTTTTAAGAGATAGTCCTGCATTGGAAAGAGGTAGGCAGAGCTCTATCCTGTGATAATTTTTAGGATGTTGTGTATACCAAATAGTATATAATGACCCTACCAACTTGTGTAGGATTTTTGTCTCTTGTTTTTTAGGTGATGGTGGGGGAGAAATCTTAAATTTTGTTTGCTGCTGAAAATCTGTATCTTTCAACTCTTGCAAGTGACATCTCTTGATGAAAAAATGAAAAGCAGCTGTCTTGGAAGTTAGGCCGCTTCACTGCTTTCTCCTTACTGTGGCTTTGCTCTTGCCTGTGGAATAAAGAAGTGGATTCTCTCCCCGCTCTCCATATTTCCAAATTTGTAAACCAGATCAAAATTTGCGGTCTACCCAGTTATTTTGTCGTTGTTCCTGTAGGAGATGATGTGGATTGTGGGAGGAGCAGGGAATTACTTCTGTGTATCAAACCCCATCAGGAAAAAAGCGCTCTCTTTACACTTCCAACTCAGCTTTTTTTTTTTTTCATACACCTCTCTTGTCCTGGCTTTCAATTCTGTAGCGGTTGCTGATTTGGGCTTTACAGTATGTTTTGTTGGAGGTGTCAATAGTAGTTTCCCTGGACACTGAAACGTTGAGCTTCAATGCTGCGGAGGAAGTTTCAGAGGAAGCAACATCAGTCCCTAACCTCTGTCTTGATCTGCTCTGTAAATGTTCTTAGCCAGCGTTTGAGTTAGGACTCTCTTGGACTGCTCTTGTGGCTGCCAGGTTTAAAGTCCCCTGTGGGCTACGGCACTCCCGCTTGAATTAGATGCACACAGCGGTGCTGCACTGCAGCCTGGCAAATCAGCTCTGTGTGAAAGCACGGAAAGCCCAGCACATCGGTCACAGATGGCTGAAGCACAAATCCGAACTCGTGTAGAAATGTCCTGTAACAGGCGTCCTCTGCGTGTGCCTGTGGTTGTAGGTTGGGGACAAATGTCCTTTCTTGCAGAGGACTGCAAATCAAACCGTGTCTGCTCAGCTGTACTTGCTAAGCAGCCAAATCAGGTCTGGTCATTCGGTGTGGGCGAGGAGCTGCCCTTCCTGCAGGGTGGGCCTTAGGCTGAGTGTGAAG